CCCCAAAACCCCAAAACCCCAAAACCCCAAAACCCCAAAACCCCAAATGGCAAGATAGATTCGAAAGGAGAATATTCAGAAATTGTGAATATAAACCAGTGATCGGCAGTTTATGAATAGTAGACTCTAATTGAGAAAATAGATTGGTAGCCAACGTTTAATAAATTAATTTTCCCTCTTCCCAAAGAATTCAAATTTAAGACAACACTAAGCCTCATAAATCTTAAATAGTAATGAATAACAAACAAAAATAATAACTGAGTCAACCCCCATAGACTCCAAACACCTTCTTATCGTTGGCACAGCCTTTCGACACCCCGACATCTTTTATTAAACGGCCAATCCCTGTGAAATCACCATACTCTAAAGAGATGAATGTAGCGCACTCTTCCCGTAATTCTAGCGAAGGCATCCACTCATCAGGTGGAAAGAAAAGTTCTCGCCATCTCTCAAATTCTTTGCATAATTCACCCGACCCACCAAGGTCTATCTACCAAAGGTCTCTTTCCTTTTAGTAAATTAATTAGACTAGTAGTTTTATTACCGTAGAAAAAGAGAACAAACCTCCTCAATAAAACACAAGCACCTAACAAAATAGTGATCAAAATAAGTTTTTTAACTCTCCTATTTCAAGAAGAGAAAGTCCAAACAAATCTTATCAGTAGGCCTTCGCTAGTCTCAATTTGGGTACCACTACTCTTAACCACTAGAGAAGCTTCCAAAATTATAATAATACTTAAAACTAGTGTTAAGCGTAAACAGACTTCTTGAAGACTATTACTCAAAGCCCAATGCTTTATAAAAATCTAAACTCTGTCGACTGGAGGTTCAATAGCCCACACCCCAGTCCATTCAAAATGAAGGCAAACGATTCCTAGGGTCAGCCAATCAAATCAGATACTGAGATCCCTCAAAACATAATGACTAGACAATCTTACCAATACTCCTTGCTGTCCCCAGCACCCAATTTCGATACTAATGGGATTTCAGCCTCTGATAATCTTAGTAATGTTTTAAAGTACACTAAAGACAAAGAACTAACAGGCAGACGACTATTCTAAAGCCCTCCAAAATTCAAGCCATCATTGGTAGGTGCAACCAAAGGAGGAGCAAAGATATACTAAAATAAGCTTGAAGACATTATTGAAGAAGAGTCAGGACTTGGCCACATCGGAAGTTCATCTTCAATGATGAACAATCTTATCTACTCGAAAGAGCCCGAGTAGCACAATCATCATCAGTATAATGAGAGTATCAATGGAAGCAACTTAATAGAGACAAACTTCAATAGAAAAAGACATTAGCTCACTTTTGACGAAGAGGATCACTTATTTGCCACACCTACAATGGACTAAAATTGCCATAGCTAAATTTAAAGCACCAGTGGCTTCTATGGAAATGAAAACAAATTTAACCAATCAAAACCCATAAATTAAAACAATAGCCACCAGTATAATTAGATAAGACAAGGATATTTCAACGGGTAATATCCCCAGCAAATGGGTTAATAATATCAGAATGAATTCGGCCACAACTTTTCAAGCCAAAAAGACTTTTAATAGTGTGATTAGAATCACTAATAGTGCAAACACTCCAGTCGTGCCTACAGAAGTAATGTTATCCAGCAATTAGATTTAAATAAGTCGAATTTCTATCCAAAATTAGACAGAATCAATATAAAATAGACTAAGAATGAATTTAACTTCATTGGTGACTAAAAAGATCTTAACATGTCCTATATTGACTAGAGTGTAATCAACGCTCATATTAACATTCAGTTTTAGAATGTCCCTTAATCAGAAATGCAACCAATGGGCTACTTTATTCAGTAGGAGAATAATATGCAAGATCCAATGAAGATGAGGACCTTTTATCAGCCTATGGGCACATGTGAATAGGGATACTTCCCCATGACTATTGGAAAATAAAAGAACTATTCTAGCATTAAAAAACAAAAAGCTGGAAAGAAGTAACAACTTTTCAATTAAAACAACAGTGGAGTCAAAAGATCATATGGTCAATTCATGAAAAGTAGCGGTAAAAAGTCACTTATGAATCTCTAAATTAACAATCTTGGCCAGGTTTCTAAGAGTGCTCAGAAATAAAATTTCAAGCGTAGCATGCAAATGTAAAACAGCCAAAGATATTATGACAATACCCCAGAGGCAGTTCAAAATGAAATGCTTCTTCAAACCCCTAAAGGGCTTCCACTGCAGAGTACTCCTGATAAAAATCAAGATATTGCTCAAAACTCAAACTTCAAGACACCTAATATTCTCTAATCAGATAATAAAAGTTAGTAACCTTAGAAAACTACCTGCAATTGCAAGAAATCTAAATGCCTTAAGCTTTATTGTGATTGCTTTGCAGTGGGTCTTGGCTGCTCTCCAGAATGCAATTGCATGGACTGCGCCAATCAAGATGACAATGAAGAAAGAAAGTTAGCTATGGAAGCTATTGTAGAGAGAAATCCTAATGCCTTCAAACCAAAGATTCAAGAAAAGGGGTATCATGCTAAGGGATGTCATTGTAAAAAGAGTGGATGCTTAAAGAAATACTGTGAATGCTATTAAAGTGGTGTTCCTTGCACTAATATTTGCGCTTGTGAAGGATGTAAGAATTGTGACGAGAATATGATTGGTCAAAGGTAGCTCATAGGATTGGAATAAGATGATGAATTAGCTCAACAAACTTTTGAGGAAGATAAAATGAATAGTCCTAGGCTAGTCGATGAAAAAGACTATAAGAACCATATTCAAAATTCTGACAAGAAATCTCAAGAAAAGTAGGATGAACCGCCAAATTCTGGAAATAAAATAAGCCCTGGTAAATCTACTCGTAGAAGTGGAAATAATGCCAGTATGATGTAATTCAGTACTCCAGAAGATCCAGTTAAGCAGTTAAATGATAAAATTACAACTCGAAGGATCAAACAAGTTAAAATCACCACGAAAGTGGAAATAACTCCTAAAAAAGAACTCACATTCAAATCAGAAGTGGTCCCTTAAAACAATTATTTGAATCTAAGTTCATCTATAGATGCTCATTAGAGTCAATTAGAGACCAGATCATTGAAAAGATAAAAGACTTCGACAAACTCCATCCCATAGGAGACATTGAAAACTAGAAACAGCACTTTATTAACCGCTGCTGTAGGAACTTTAGACAAGCTAAATATGCATAAAAAAGAGTAAGACTAAGAGGTAACTTCTACCACAAATACTAGTACTTAAATGACCACTAGAAGTAAGAGGAAATAATAAGAGAACTATTCAACCACTGGTAATAACAGTAGTCATAATAAAAAATGAATAATCCATAAATATCTACCTATCTCATTCCTTATCCTATGTATTAAGTTACTTTATTTAAATGAACTTTCTATAAAAATTAATCATATATTGGTATCTATTTTTATATTGCCCAGATCCCTTTAAATACTAGCTATTGGGGTTTTGGGGTTTTGGGGTTTTGGGGTTTTGGGGTTTTGGGGTTTTGG